CACAACAAATAATTAGTATGCTTGAGTACCCTAACCAAAATTCAAGTGGCAATCTAACTAAAAAATCGACCCACATACCTTCACAATGTGAAGTTGCTTCAAAATCCAAAAAATGCCGTCTGCCAAAGACGAACACTGTCGAAAATCAAAATAAAATTCTTTACCAATAAGGCAAACAATATCAGTCGCACTCTCAAAGAATGAGAAAAATGCAAATGCACCGTGAAATAATAAAAAAAATGTAGAAAATAGGGCGGACGAAGTTTACTCACTGTTCCGCTCTTTTCGGATGTTCAACATCCGAAAATTCCAAATTTTTGGATGTTCAACATCCAAAAATTGATAAGTGAACATTTTTTTTTAATCCTGTTTTCGGATGTTGAACGTCCGAAAAAGGGCAAAAGTGTCTTTTAAAAAAAAAAAAAGATGTTATGAAAGATAAAAAACGAACCGATGAATAATAACAAAAACTATTAGATGTAACCATAATAATATAAAGTATAATAGATATATGTGTAATTTTCTCTTATCCTTTTCACTGGAAGTCCAATTTCCTGTCAACCATTCAAAAGACTGTTATATGGACAAAAAATTGTTTTCTTGGCGTATAGTGGACATAAAGTTCTTTAAAATGGCAGTCTCTTGGCTCCATGACGGAGCTTTTGAATCCTCAATTAGGAGACGTGTTCAAGACACTGTTTTGGAGATTTTGCATATTTTGTATTGTGTTGAATAATTCTCATTAATAACCATGTCATGTATTTTAAAAACAAGGGATTGTATACTATTAGACCATTGATCTTTATTATAAAGAGGTCACAATTAACCCTAGTCACTAGATATTCAATCGGATGGTTTGTGGTGTATCACGAAGTTCAATAATAAGTTTGAGTTTAGTAACAAGTACACTTATAACGATTTGATTTGAATTTTGATGGACAAAAATTGATTTGAATTTTGATGGACAAAAATGGTTGACTGTTTTATACTAAAAAAATGGTCTTTTTAAGTACTTATCCTAAAGGGATATGTGATGTAGTGGCAGCAACCATTAGCAAGAGAAAAACAAAGCTCTCTATTTCCTTTAAATAAAAAACAAGGCTTTTCCAATCAAGTAATTGTACTTGTGTGCTTCTGGTCGCCTACACTCCATGCCTACCTTTTAAACCCTAACAAATTGGGAGAAGTCCAAATATATTATACTTCTATGGAAGATGTGTACTCCCTCGAGTAAAACCCCACATGGGATTAATTTAGGGTTTTAAATTTCAGGGACGTAACCTCATTTGAGAGATGTAACCTCTTCGACCCATAGATTAGAGAAAAAATTCTTAATTGTACCTTTACACACTAGAAACAACGTAGTGTCTCTGGATTGAATATAAACCAGTGTAGAAAAAATCAGATCGGAACGATTAACTAGACATGGGCTAGAAGCGGTTACTTGGCACAAACTGGTAACCTATCCGGTACAATCGGGCAAGTCCCGTGCAGTCAAAAAAGTGTTAAAAAATAAATATATTTATTTAAAAAATCTAATAAAATATGAAAAATATATTTAAAGCATGATTAAATGAAGAACATCCAAATGAAGTTGAAAATTAATGAAAAAAATTGAATTTAAAGAATCGATTTGTGCCCACGTATTTTTGAAATTTTTCAAAAGAGATGGAAAAATGTAAAAATAAATATCAATGGCCAAAACAATTTCCAATCTTTGCCAAAATGAAGAAAAAAAAATTAAACAATACATTAAAAACAAAACCCTCATTTTCTGGGATTTTATATACTTTTTATTTTATTTTTATTTTTAAATACCCAGTCATTTCACCAAAATCGGTTGAAACTAAAACTAGACCGGTTTCAATCTTACCATGAGGTTAGAATTTGAACCTCCCGATTTTTACTACACTGATATAGACCGTCGAATTTTCAGTGGGTAAGATCTAAGTGTTTTGAAAACTCAAGATCAAAAATTTTTATTTTGAGAATAATCATCTAGTGATTCTAGGTGGTCCCAAAACTTCAAATTGAAAAAATCCTCCCAAGTAGGTTTTTTCCCGAGAGAGTAGATGTACACTATGCTCCCGTGAAAGCATAGTATACGTGATTTAAAATTAAAAAAAAAAACGATAACCATTACTTTGTCAACGATAGCGGTCGGCCCAGCTCCCACCTCACGCCTTCACATCTATCGGTTGAAATTATATCCAAGACTCAAGCCTCATGGATTATTTGCACAGTGGACCAATTTCTAAGGACATGGCTATATAAATGGTGATACAACATCTTTATGTTATGACATAGGGCTTCCTTAGCAGTACTGAGGATGGGGGGGAGAAGAAATGAGAGAAATTCCTCAAGTGGTGCTAAATTCAGGGCATAAAATGCCTTTAGTGGCCATGGGCACTGCACAATTTCCCTTTGTTGAGGATGAGTCCATGAAAGCCCCCATCCTAGAGGCCATGGTGCTTGGTTATAGACACTTTGATACCGCTAGTGTCTATTTATCAGAGAGGGCCCTAGGTGAAGCTGTGGTCCAAGCAGTCGATGCCGGCATTGTCAGATCCCGAGCTGACCTCTTCATAACCTCCAAGCTTTGTCCCGGTGATGCATATCCAGAGGGAGTCTTGCCGGCCCTCCGCGAAACGCTAATGTATGACCCCCTTACTGTTTACAGTCTATAGCTTAGCTGCTCTTGACGAAGTCATTCACTGTATTTTAACCAACTTTCAGGCGCCTGCAGTTAGAGTATTTGGATTTGTACCTCATTCATTTTCCGGCAAGGTTGAAGGGAGGAATAAAGACGGCCGAGTTTCGAGAAGAAGATATTCTCCCCATTGATCTCGAAGGGACATGGAAGGCCATGGAAGAGTGTTGCAGATTGGGACTCACTAAGTCCATTGGAGTTAGCAACTTTTCATGCAAGAAGCTGCAAGATTTGCTAGCCATCGCGACCATTCCCCCTGCAGTTAACCAGGTGATTCACGCTTTTTTTTTTTCTTTTTTTCTTCTTCCTCTTCTTCTTCCTCCTCTTCTTCTTTCCTTTTTTTTTTTTTTTTGTCAGACAAATAACATTATGCAAATGAGTTCTTGGTAATGACCATTACATTGTAGGAAAAGCTCCTTAGATTAAAACCCTGACTAGAAATATTTTTAGGACCCCAAATTTTGACTCCAAACCTAGCAGCAAATCTCAAAAAAAAAAGTAAACATTCATGTTCTCTCTTTACTCCCTTAGACAGGATCTAGGATTATTTTTAGGACCCCAAATTTTAAGATATAACCTCTTAATATAGCAATTAACCTCAGAAAGAATAAAATAAAATTGCACGCTCTTTGTGCCTGAAAAAAATAACATCCCAAAACTGAATAGGGACTATGCAACTTTCTAGGGTATGATTGAAGAACTAAAAATTTGTTAACAAAAGTCATATGATGATCTTGGACTCAGATTTCAAATGAAAAAAAAAAAAAGAACATCTAACTAGAAAGGAGCACATAATAAAGAAAGTAGCACCACTACTTTAATTAAATCACACCCTATACACGCTCAAAATAGAATAATTTAAATATTCTTATAGAATCAACCTAAAACTTAATTATTTTCTAATTAATTTACTGGAATATTATTAGGAAAAGGTTTATATAGAGCCGA